ATTCTAGGCTTAAGGCCTGCCACTCTGCACACCTCTTCGCCCAGTTGTTATTGGTCGTTTGTGTTTTTTCTTTCCCTTAACAATTCGATTTTTTTTCTCCTGCATGTGCAACAAAGCCTTTAGCTTTCGTCATCCCCTTAGTCACGTATTTGTTTTCTTATCCTCTTATACGGCCACTCCATCCTCCTTCATTCCATCCCGTCATATTTTCTATTTCCTTTATCACCGTCCCTATTTCCGATCCATCGAGAGCGCAGATTCGTCGCACAGACGTTGTTTAGAAGTCGCTTATCAGTTAAAAATTCTTTCTACTTATGAAACCATTTCCGTTTCCGTTCAATTTTTATCCCTCTTCTTACTTCGGTTTACCCTTCCCTTTTCAATGGTATGAAACGACAGAGTTTTCACTGTCTTTGATCAGCAAATTTCAACAAAATAGATCACTCTCGATGAATATTAACAATAACAACTGTAAACTGAAATTCATAAAGTCTGCTTCACTAAAGAGTCTGCTTCAAGTAAAATTCCGATTCACCAGCGTGAATGTGGTCGTAATGATAAACATTATGGAATTTTCAGTGTTCGCTCAAGTATTCCCCTATTCGTAGATATCGAAAGATTTCGAACTGCTCCCGTTTTTGTTCACTTGTATTAAATCTTGAAATTTGATTTGAATCTCCTTGCGATAGTCATTCAGATGAAAACTCATAAGATGTAAACAGTGACTATTAAGCAGTCATGTTTCATAATACAATGCTGATAGAATAACATCCATATCCGCAGATTACTCAGATATATGAAGAGCACATCAAAGTGCACCTACCTTTTCTGGTGATCTCAGTTTTTCTTCGAAGGTCAACATTGCCGATAAGGCTGCAATCGCACCTCCAAGCGAGTAGCCAGTGAATGTGACCTTATAGTCGCTTGTTGGTGGATTTAATAGGGTCGGTTGAACAGCCACCCTTAAGCATTCATTCCAACATAAGACATTTGATTAGCATACAATATCATTATCATTTCCTTCTTTCATACTACGAGCAATGTTCTAATCACTGAGGTTTACATCGCAAACATTTGATGAACTGTTATGTTATGTTCTGATCTTTCAACTGTTCAATTTTGCTCTACCTATGCTCAAAACTTTTTCAAAATTTTCCGTTATGTTCCCTTCAGCATCTTAAATTTCAGTTCAAATTTATTCTGCTAGACGAGGACAGGATAGACCAGAAATAGAATTGTTACGCCTTAACATTGCTTGTTATTGAACAAATTAGGAGCGAACCAAGTTTTATTGAGAGCCGAAATAAAAAGTTGTCCCACGTTTCCATAGTTATTCCAGTTTACATCAGGGCCCATCCACTGCTCAACTTCTTGTCGAAATTGTTCATCTGGCAATACAATGCGACAGATTTAGGCATGAACAGAATGCGTAAGAAGAATTTTTTGAAGCCCTGTACGAGAGAACTGAGCACAAAAACTTCACAATGTTTGATGTGTCTCTGGAAGAACTGAAGGAGCAACTGGAATTCTGATAAAGAATCTATCCCGGGAGTACCGCCTAGTTTATCATAATGGGATGGATTCACTGCTCTAAACATTCTTCCGTACTCTGTTGCACACTTGAAATATTCGTCAGCCGTGCCTTCGATAGCAAATCTTCGAATGTAATCCAAAAAAATTCACATTTTCGAAGCGAACCTTCATTACGACACAAGAGCAAGTTATATCTCATTGTATAGTATTCCGCTAGTCCTAAAACATCGCACAACCTCTCTCTCCTTGTTTGATCGGAGACCTTACAAAAAACTTTGTCATGTTCTTAAGATTCTCCATCCTTTGACCCAAAAATATTCCTCAAAAAATTTCAAGCAATCTTTGAGCTCAGTGAATCTAACTAATTAACGACGAATGATGAACCTCCGAAATCGCCTCTGTACGCAATGATGATTTCTTTTTTGATGTGTGAAATCATGACAACTACTGCACAGACGTGATCTTCTGCCAAACAGGTCACCTCCTATAAATATTCCGATTTATTACAATTTTTGTCTAATAATGAATCGTTTTCACCTCATAACAATGCCTCATTTCGTTACTTTGAGGTCGTCTTTGCAAATGGTAACTTTCACATTTTGGTCATTAATCGTAGCTTATTCAGCCGTGCCGTCGATATTCTCAGTGTCTTCAGGGTACATACCATACGAATTATTTGAACTCTCAGTTCACAAGTTAATAAAGATGAAAATGGTCAGTTCTATATGATCTACATTTCCTTCAAAATCGATTATTTGATCTATCAGCCATAATATTCAGAGCTTATGAATTCCAAATTGATGTCATTTCTAATGATTGTTGCTGCA